CCTAATTTCGAAAACAAACGCAAGAGCGCCAGAAAATGCACTAGAGACACATAAGACCAGTCGGAAGGCATCGCAAAAAAAACAAGTCCAAAATTCTGGCACAGGGCAGCAGTAGAGACCGCTCAAAAAAACGTGCTTTTTTTCGCGCGTCTACCTCTACACGCACCCTTTGAAACCAAGATAAAAATCCACACTGGTCTAAATTCAAGTCAAAAGAGCCCAAACGGAAGGCGCTCAAATAAGGCCGGTGTTGCTAGGAACCTGGTCCATTGTACCAATATCACTAGAGGACACCCTATAGCAGCGGGGGGGTGTGTTGGCGCGCTCAAAACTTCTTCTGTGGTGGTGGTATCGAGTGTCGTTGTAGTGGCCCACAATCTCCGCAAATCTCCGCAAGTTAGATCGACACCCAGTGTCTTGTACTGCTTGTGCTCGCCGCCACTGAACCCAATCTTCTGAACTGCAGGTTTACAGCAGTAGCTGATGCCACCAGCTACTGCTGACAACCCGCAGTTGAGGGGTTTGCGGTCCGTGGTGGTGAGCACCGCTGTGACAAGTGTTGGGTTCCGCTTGGTTCCGGCGCAGATTTCGGACCGTTTTCAGAGGCTGCTGCGACCTTCGATATTTCAGCCCCAGTAGTATACCTGAACGTGCCAGCACGCACGACGCCTCTTGATGATATCCTCTACTGATACTAGCACAACGAACCAGGTTCCTCCGGCGGGAAGGTTGTTTTCTTTCTTTGTACTGTTATAAAGTATAAGAAAAGAGCCAGCGTCAAAATCCATTGTCTGGGTACCCTTAACCCTGTTTTCTTATTGTTCGTGAAAAAGTGAGCCTCGAATTCTTAACAACATATTTCTGAACTGCGGGCGCCAACTGCTGTACATCACAACGCAAGCAGAGACAAGGCCATCATCATCTTGCACAGAAAAGATAGAAAAAGCCAAAAAGCCAAAAAGCGAAGAAAAGTATGTGGGAAGAGAGGAATGATAGGTTGCTCTAGCTTAAGCAGTTTTGACGGTGTTGTGTATGGGTAGGGGGAGTACTCCCTGTGTCCGTGTTATTCCCAGCTGTTGTCGCATCAAGTGGCAAATGTGTCATGGACAGGTAGTAGGTAACTTATTTTCCATTTCCCATGTACAAAAATGAGCACCACACCGAACATGTCCCTGCTGGTATTATGACCAGAATCACCCAGAATCACTATCAACTGTGGAAGTGAGTTATTCTGCAGGGCTTCACTTGTCATAGAGTGGATGAGAGTCCAGGTGGGGCCACCACCAAGAAGAAGAGAGCGGGGCTTCCATTCGCCTGCCGAAAATAATCAACTTTGAACAAAAACAACAGCCGAGCATCATCATGTACATCGAGCTGTGTACATCATGTACGACAAGCTTGCCGGTAGCGCCGACATGAGGATACGGCGATGTGGCCTCGACCCAACATCATTGGCGGTTAGAGTGCGAACCTGCACGCAGTATATAACCTCCTAACAAGAACACCACGGAGATTCGAGGCCAAAGCTCGTGTTGTTTGAAATATGGTTTCGAGAGATGAATGAGTCACTGCTGCTGTAGACTAGACTATGCATAATATGTAGTCTAGTCTACACATGAACTTCAACCTACACATTGCGCTCCTTGAGCAGAGTTTTCCGGAACTGCTGCTGTGTACGGCTGTCTTGTAGTACACTACGGAAATACTTTGTGATGAGTGGAATGATCGTGGCCTGAACTAACGACTCGCGTGCACTGTCCATGGAGTTCCGAGTCAGGTCCCAGGTCCCAGTTTGAAGGTTGAGATTTGAATTTTGACAAGCTGGGCTGGGTCGGTGAGTCAGTGAGTCGGTGCCAACCCGAATCGCAACAAAAGAGAGTTCTAGATACTTCTGTATCATACCTCGAACTTTTTGGACTTCCGCCGCCTTCCGCCGCCTTCCGCCTTCGCCTTCCACCCATGTCCCACATGTATCCAATCTCTACAGTCTGCAGTCTTGTGCATGTGTCCCAAGACCCGTGCTCACACCATTCCTCGATCAACAACCCAGGTTTTCAGGCGAGCTGAAGGTGAGGGCATTGATTGACACGGACGAAGAAACATCAATCTGCACAAAATCTGAGAGGAGTCGCGCATACCAACTTCTTCTGCCGAGACAGCGAGACTACAGGCTGTGTACAATATGCTACCTGTATTTCTTTTGTGTTCAGCACAAACCAAGGGTGACTTTTCGCGGACGGGCGATAAGACTATAAACAGCGCGTCGAGTAATTGCGAGTGCGCGTCTCGCCAGCTCTGAATATTAATATTCTGACTCCCTGTCTGTGTCTGTGTCGGTGTCTCTCTCTCGCTTTGTGTGCCTCTCTATTACTCTGTCCCTCTCTCTTGTCTCTCTCTCTCTCCTCTGCCAAAGTAAGTTCGAATTTGTTTGTTGCGTTCATTGTTGACCGCTACACCCGCCGGGATTTGTGTCTCGTTAGGTACACCAGTAGGCGGCGCCTGTCTCGTCTCATCCTCTGGATACCAACAACAACCAAGACAATGAGCGGACGTTTGATTATTTTGCCAAAGAAAAGCTGGCATCCCGGAAAACGGGAGAATATCGAGAAAGTCCTTCGAGATGAGAGGCTGGCTGCCGAGGAGGCAGCAGCGGCTCGGGAGAGGGCGAGAGAAATTACCCAGGAGGGAATTGTGGAAACCCTGACGAAAAAAAGGTAAGAGGGCACATGGATTGTACCGGAGGAGCACAATCCACAAACCCGCACGTCTTCCCGAATCGATTAGAAGCGCCCTGTACTGAGCCGTGTGTAGATGCTCAGCGTCCCGTTGTAGGACGCCACTGCTGTAGGTCTCCTGTGCTGGAATTAGACTGTAGCACTTGCACAAATACTTGGGGACAAGCGTTTCCCCGGTTTGTGATCGCCATGCCACACGTACGTGCCGAGTTGGTGTATATCACCATTTCTCTCGTGTACCATATATGTCGCAATACTGCTGTGCATACTTCTGGAATTTCAGTGGGGGCATCTAGCACCGCCTATGTCAAAGTAAACGTGCATGAGTGATGAGTAATAGCTCAAGCCGCTTCAAAACGACCTGAGCGCGAGGCCTGATGGTTCCTACGACAACTCGTGCGACCAAAGTTATCACGAAGAAGATTCCATTATAGTACGACAGCATCCTCCCGGCCCTACGAGAAGAACCATCTCCACGGCCGGTGCCACGGCAGCAACTGCTGTAGTTGGGAGGGAATAGTATGGAACGGTAAGATATACACCAGCAGCATCTCCGAATTCCAGACGTCGGACGACTCCAACGAGAAAGGTTTTGACAGGGACATAAAATCTGTAGTGTGGTACGCGGTCCTTTGTCGATTTGGGGGATAGCTTGTTATCCTACCTCCACCAAGCACGTATGGGTCATTTGAGGAGCATCATGATAACTTCATGCAAGCACCACGTGTTGAGCAAATTTATGCGCCTTCCGAAGTTGAAAGATGTATATCTTGGTCTTTGATATGGCAAATTAATCGTATTTTCATCACCAAAGGCGCATCATCGAGTCATCGAACACCTGGTGCTTTCATGAAAACACTTCGACGTCCGAAATAATGACTAATGATAGAGAATTCGTCCTGGCGATCTCATTAAGAAGAACAAATCCGCGTTTTGCGCTATAGGCTTGCCCTCCCCCTTCCCATCCAAAAGAAGGTTACCTGTCCTCTTCACGGCCTTTGTCGCCGAGGTGGGTGAAAACCGGTGCCGGTGCTACTGCTGTTGTCCATGTTGTTCCCTTCGAATCGTTGCTGAGGGTCTAGTGGCGACGGAGATGGGTGGCCCCGTTGGTCAGCGGGGAAAAGTTCTTCCTGGCAGGATGTTGTCTGTGCATAATCCTAGAGGGTTTTCCACCCAGCCGTCGTTAGATTCTTGACGGTTAGCGCTCGGCTCATTTTTGAGCGGGTTGCTTTGGAGCTCGTCGTCACATATTTGATATTTCATTTCTTCACTAGCTTCGACGACCCTTGTCTCGATCCTCGATTTGGCTTCAGCGGTTTTGACAAACTTGAGGGTACCTTCAACGGTGGGCTTCGAGCGCAAGCTATGGCGTCGTACAAGAGAGGGATGGAAACAGAGGGTTGGGAAGGAAGGTGTCGATGTGTGGTGCGATGATGTGGGAATGTCCTGGTGTGCTCTTCCTCTGAAAACATTGATGTCGCCGTAATCACTTCACTCACCTTTCACTTCCGAAATATTTGTTGACATGTTCCGTACCTTAACAGTTCCCCTCTGTACACCTCAATAATTGGACGACTCGTTGCGACCGCTTCTTAGATCAGCGTGTGCGTCGATTTACAACAATATTTTACAGTTGTACACTTTTATGTGGATGGGAACAGGAGTTATGGCAGGGCTACCGTCTGCCGGGTTCTCTTGGACTGCGACGGCTGCTGCACAGCAGTCACAAGTATTCCCAAATGGGAAGACAAGCCTATACGACGCTTGATCAACGTAAGGGCATTGTAACACTGCCATGGGCAGTGATGCTGGCCACTGCCGCAGTTTGCTTGGTGTACGAGACGCGGTGCCAAATATCCCTACACGTGTCTCGAAGAGACGTGTTATCTGTTTCTGATCGCAGTAGGAACGCCACCAAACCTGACCATTTTCGCTCATTTGCTGTTGCAAAATTCAGGAGGCACTAACGTATCCCTTAACAAATTCTCGCCTTGTGTGCAAACTTATTCATTCATAGGTCGGCTTCCGAGACAATCGAAGGCGGGGCAAACGCGGCCTCAGGGACGCCGACCAGCCGGAGGCGACGAGGTCGAGGTCAAGACAGAGACGAGGAAGCTCTTGGAGGAAAGGGGCAAGGCTGGGGAGCTACGCTGCAGCATGTTAACTTGTTCAGTGACGCCGAACGAGAGGCGGGAAAGATCCTTGGGCAGAACAGTGACCATCAGCGCGAAAAAAAAGAGCAGGAACTCCAAAAACAACAGCGTTCGGGGTTGGCTCCCACCGCTCTTGGTGACGGATCGGCTGAGCTGAAAGACAAGGATTCCCAACCTTGGTACACCAACCTACAACCACAGTCGACCGCTTGCGTGTCGAAGGTAGCGGCACGCACAGTTCGGCTGGGAAGAGAGGTGACGGGACAAGAGGCGGAAGAGGCCATCAAGAGAGATCAGAGGCGAAAGGGCCGGGCAGATCCCATGGGCTCCTTGTTCCGATCTGGGGCGCAAACGACGCGAGGGAGTCTGCCTTTTGAAAGAAGGGGAACGTATTACCAGCCGGAAGCGGCCACGGCAAACCCGCCTGGCGCTGCCGGATTGTGTGTGGATGAAGCCACTTTACACAGCGACAGAGGGGAACACGCCGGGAAGGCCAAGAAAGTCAAGAAGGCCATGAAAGTCAAGAAGGACAAGAAGGGCAAGAAGGACAAGAAGAAAAGCGCTAAAGAGAAAAGTCATTCCAAAGAGACGCAAACACGCAGCGATCGGGATAGATTGGCCAGGAGACACGGCGACAGTGCTGCCGGGTTATCTGGAGGCCGAGCGGATGAAGCGACGGATGCTCAACGTGAACAAAAATTGGTGAGAATCAATCGAATTGCTGTGATTTCTAGCGAAGACAGCGTGGTCACCTCTGAGGTGTCTTTTTACAGTCCGCCCCGCCTTGCCCATCTTCTTGGCATGAATCATTCTCACGAAAATTGCTCTCATCGGACCTGTTGTCGATTCCGTTCGATATCTCGTGCTGCCGCGCAGAAGGATCTGCGTAGCCGACGATTGGCGCGTGAAGGTGGTGAACGAGAGCGACAGATTCGACTCTTAGCTGAACGGGAGATGGCTGGCCATTCCCTTCCGGACGAACGAACCAGGGCCTACAACAACCAGTACAACGCTCCTGCTGCTCGGCAAAATAGAATTCGATGAAAAAGAAGAAAGTTGCAATAACATCGGAGACGGAGACAAACAAGCTGTTATCGGAATTGCAAGAATGTTTGCCTGTTCGCCGTGTCTGAGCGGCGCAAATTGAACAAGCGGTTATTGCGCCTAGTCAGCACTTATGTCAACGACAAGAGTCTTTGTCTCCCAGGATGTTTGCTGGTGCGTGGCTACTCAGCGGGTGATTTGCAGGAGTCTGTCCGGCGTGCTTGGTTGCGTCACACCGCCTGCATCACAAGTTAACAAAATGACCTGCAGAAAACAGAGGTAGTCCTGTCCATGCCATTCGTCAGCCACGTGCTCCCCAGCTCCAGCGTTGCTGATGCTTTTCTCCACAGAAGAACGGAATAAACCATTTGCGGAAGTTCGTGGCGATGATCCACGGAAGAAAAAATGCTGAGCCAGGTTTGAGCCGCCATCACTTGAGGAAGATGGATTTGCCCGATCCACTACTGAGCCCCACCAGCACGATTACACATCGGCATCATCGACGGCGGTGATACAAGTCTGTTGCCAGCTCGTGTAAACTATTTGCAACAAATTCGACCACAATCTTTGGACAAGGGAACGGCAGAAGCATTCTCGTGAAAATTAGGGCAAGCATTACTACGGTGGAGAGGAACAAAATACAAACTCCGATGTTGTGTGGCATTCCTCCTACGTGGTGACCGATGTGAGCAGCAAAACCGACTAAAGTGGAGGAGAAACAACATTTTATCAAGACGCCCTCAATCAACGGGAAGACAACCCCCCGAAGGATGGATGGATGTGGTAAAACGACATGGTATGAAGCATGTTGTTGTCACGTACACCCCTTTGTGCCAGATGCCAGAGCAATCATAATTATTGGCCGCGCTAAATGCTAATGATATAGGCTGGCCCGCCGTGATCGTGTGATCGTGAGCAGCACGACACATGTACATGTGCATAGAGCCAGTGCATATCCCCAATGGTGTGCTGCTGTGCTGCTGCTGTGTGTGTGTTGTGTGTGTTTTCGTCCTATTTATTATGGCGAAAGTCCCCCCATTTTCGTGGTGAGAAGTGTACTACACTTTTCAGCGTAGTAGAGTACTACACTGTCTGTTCAGTGTATTTTTTCGTACAACTACAACCATCCAGGGTCACACAGGAGGAGGTAAACACTGGGGCTTTTTTCTTTATTTCTTTTCATGCCCCACCTTCCTCCTGCGGTGCGTGCTGAATTTTATTTTTATCGCGAGAAGGGTCTAGCTGTCCCTTTCCCTCGTCAACGGTGCTAACGTCGAACTTTGGTACTCACGAGAGCTTAAATTTAGCTATATTTCGTTTTCACCCGCAAATTCCGTAAATTTTTCACCCCATGGGTATTCGAACTCACGACCTCTGGGACTAGCGGATTACGAGGATACCACTAGGATACTGCCACTAGACCACCGGGGCGACGGGTAGACGGGTAGTCTGTGTACGCGGTATCAATTATTTGGTCGGTACGCAAATGCATTTATTTCCCGGAGCCCCCTTACTGGCCCGTCAGGAGGGCACGGGGATTGCAATCCCATACACCTATGCTAATAAATCACGATTAAGGCGAAATCCTGGGGGAGGGGGGGGGGGGGGGGGGGGNGTATCGGGTGACGCCTGATTTTTCAGGGGAAAAAACACTTTCATTTGTCTTTGACTTTTAGCCAATAAATATTGGTAGACCAATCAATTAGTAGTCTAGATTGCTGTCTAATCGAGTACTGGTACTAAATAATAATAACTGTAATCTGAGACTACGATGTTTCTTGTCCTTCTATTATACATCATACTCCGTATAGTATATAATGGTAGTAAAGAAATGGGGTAAGTTCCTTCTTGTACATATATTATGACGTGCCTCTCTTCCAACAGCCAACGACGTACGAACAGCACGTGGAAGCCCCGGTTGTTTACTTCTGATCTTGTTGAAGCCTTTGCTGCTGTACGTACTATCTACCTCTATGCACTCAACACTTCTTACTTGCTGCCTGTCGAGCTTCCGCATCATCACAGCAGTAGTATGACTACATAATATATATACGAATACATATGTAGTAGACTATACATACTACGCTGTTTTAGGTGCGCGAGAGCGCCCGCACATTGCGGGAGAAGGGACGATACCCCTACATGGTGACGAAGGCAAGCCCGAACTGCCTCAAAATCGCCTCCCCCACACCCCCCCGCTGCCTACGAACTTCACCAGAGAGCATNGGGGGGGGGGGGGAGGGGGGTGGCATAGGTGCGGGGGATTGCAATCCACGTGCCCTCCTGGGCCCGTGTGTGCGGTGGGTGCTGCACACCGCAGTGCAGCTAGCCTGACTTCTGGAAACCGCAACTGCTGCTGTGCACTTGCCACGGCTGCCTGCTTCGTTCCAACCGCCTTGCTTGTCCTGTGGCCGGAGGGAAGCTCATAAGACTTTCAGCGATGGTTCTTCAGGCAGCAAGGACGTTCCTGTCGGAGCTCGCGCACGTTATCCGCCCATGGACGCACGCGCCTGCCGGAAGCCAGCTTGTGAATCTGGGAGGCGTGGGGGTGGCTGATATTGGTTCGGTGACGTCTAATGGCCACGCAACCGAGAATCTCTTTGGGCCAGTTTGGTTTGCTGTTCCCAAAAAGAGGGTGAGTCGTGAGCGTTGCACTTCAGTGGAGGATCCACTGCTGTACGGCCTTGATGACCTAATAATGCTCCTGGTACATTTGATATCCATATGCATATGATGTGTACCAAGGCATGTTGGCTCATTTTGAAAACACCGAGAGCACCAGAAATGCACATGAGACCCACAAACACCAGTTGCATCGGGAATCACAGAAACCGTTGATTCTCGCACAAGGCCGCAGTAGAGGCTACTCTTAATATACATATGATATGCATACCATGCAGTCTACCTCCACACGCCTCCTTTGAAATCAACATACTACTAATCGCTGCTCTAAATTCAAGTCTAGAGAGCCCAGAACGGCACGCTCACTAACAAGGTCGGTACAATATTGCATTCCAACTTCACCTGACCCCTGATGTCACCAGACGACACTCTAAAGCAGCGAGCAGCGGAGGGGGGTTGTTGGCGCGCTCCAATTTCCTTCTTGGGTACTGATACTGAGGGTCGTAGCGGCCTACATGTACAATCTCCGCAAATGAAACCCTACTGCTTGTGCTCGTTGCGACGACCCCAATCTCCTGATCGGCGGGTCTTATGAGAATGTAATTATGCCATTAGCTACTGCTGACGACCCGCCGTTCAGGCTTTCACGGTCCCTGGCGGCGAGCACAAGCGGTACAAAAAAACTGGGTGTCGTTCTAATTTGGTCCAAGTTGCCGAGATTGTAGGCCGCTACTGACCCCCAACCTCCTGATCGGCGGGTCCACTGCGTAGTCACTGATGCCATTAGCTATCGCTGACGACCCGCCGTTCAAGGGTTCACGGTCGATGGCGGCGAGCAGAAGCATTGGGTTTCGTTTAGATTTGTTTTAATTTGCGGAGATTGTAGGCCGCTACTATGCATACTTGTTGTCTTGACATTAAAAACCGTTCCGTTTTCTCTGCTCAGTACCTTCTGTCCGTACTAGTCTTACACTTGATGGGGCCGGTTCCCGTGGTCATTGGCTTACCCAAGAAAGTATACGGAAATAATAATGGACTCGAAGGGTCCGCAAGTCAATAGAAAGCAACGACAGATAGTCTAGGCCACTCGGCTCTCTTCTACACGCTATGCGAGTTAACCCTTGACTGGAAAAGAAAAAAGGAAAAAGGAGAAGAGAGCAAATGGAGAGAAGGGAAAGACAATGAGAAAGACACAGACAGAAAGGCACACGCCATAGCGACAAACAACAAACAGAACACCCCAAAGTGGGTCACCCAATCCAGCAAATGCACGTCATCGTTCGTGGGGGGTTGACACAATGGTGCAGTGCCGGGGGGGGGACAAGTCGAGCAAGGGGTTCAATCCGGCACAGTATTTCGCGCCACTCGGTCTGTCTCTTCGCGTTTCCTTTCTTCCCTCGCCGTCTCGTCAGCCTGCTGTACTCCTCCCACCCCAGTGATTTGCCGTGTCCGAGTTGTTGCCGGGCTTCTTGTTTCGTTTGCGCTCGTTGTCGCGTAACATACTACCCTCGACATGTCAGCTCTATTAATAGCAGCAAACCTGAACTTGCCGCACACACCGCCTTTTCATGGTGTCCTCTACTGATAGCGGTAGTGAAGGTTGCTCTCTTTGTATGTTGGATTTAGTAAGGAAATAGAGCCAGCGAAATGGAGATTGGTGACACTCCCGAAATTCACGCGTCTGAATTCCGAATGCATTTGATTGTACGATGTTCTCGCGCACACTGCGATACACACTATATCCACACACGGTGCGAAATGAACAGTAACTTCCCCGGTGGTGTTTTCTCTGGCAGGTTCCGTTGGGCAAGAAGCGCACAAGGACAGCTGACCGCACCCCAAAGCGGGTTACACATTACAGCTTATGCACCAAGTGCGGTCAACCGAAGTTGAATCACAAGTTCTGCAACAACATCGAGCTGTGTGCCAGTGCAGGACCCTCAGCACGGAACGAGCGATAGTAATGCAATGCTTTCCACGCAAGCCGGTTTTACATTTTTCGCGCGGAGGAGAATTGACTTGCCTTTCATGATGGGATACAAACACGACCTTTGGTACCGTTTCCTAAGGGGCGCGGGTATTGCTTTTTTTTTTTTTTGTCTGTTTTTTTTCGCTGGGAATGGGGCTCGAACACCTTTTGGAGGCATTGGAACGCGTGCCCACACCGTGCGCAACACCAAGAGATATGTTCCGAGCGAATGGATACACTGGTAGCTGCTGCGCACGTAACCCAAGCAGGCAACAGAGACCATGCCAAGAGGCAAGGTTTTTAGATCAATGACAGCAGGCGAGCGGGTACAGATATTTTCACTCTACATTCAGGGAGAGTTGAATACGTTGTCTTCGGAGATCTATGGGCAAGGTGAATGCCACGTTTTGAGTATCTCCGTTTAATGTATTCTCCGCTACGGCTGTTCCGTGGCAGTGCAATATATAGTAGGGAGCGCTTTCGCAGAACTTGTGCGTACGTGTGGTGCTCGGCTCGTCGGGGTCTTGTAAGTCACGTATGAGCTACCGTGCTGAGCACGACCTATGCAGCAAGTCGCTGCTCTCGTTTGTGTTGACAAAAACGATCGCCAGGTTCAGGTCAACATCAAAACCTGCATTTTTCAGGTTGTGCTCATTAGGTTTGTGTCGGCTGGAAGAAATGCGGATGGTTCTGTGCGTGCTTGAATTTTGGTATACTTTCCTGAGCTTGCGAAATCGAGTCCCTCCTGGTGTTTTGTCTCTATTTCTCCACACCCCTTGGACGGCGGAACCCGACGCCCGCGCCTTGCGCACGTATGGGACCATTTTGCTCCTAGTAGGCTCGAAGGTTTCACAGAAGTTGTCAACGTACAGAGACAAAAGGATTTGTGGCACGCATTTAGCTGATTGGTCAAATAGAACAGCCTGGACAGTCGACCGACCTTTGGTTCTTGGCCCTGCGCATGAAGCTGGTGCCGCCAGAGGCGCATGATACCTCAACCATTGCCTGTGCACCGGGAGGTTGCAGTTTGAGTGATTTGTTCTCAGCCCTAGGTGTTCCTGCTTGCAGAAGTACACCCATGGTCAAACGGCGGCTGCGTATTTTGACGAAGTTGAAAGACTTAGACCGGAACGACGACACCTGCACGCGACGTCCCTCGCATTTGCTCAAGCACATATCCCCGGAGCCTTCCTATTTGAATTATTTGTATGTGCGTGGAGCTCGCCAGTCACTGTAACGTTCTCACTGCTGACGGTGGTTCTTGGAGGAAACCCCTACAAATATTCTTTATTGACCGCTCTCCACGTGAACCGGACGATTGTCTTCCGAAACCTGTGTACCACGCTACAAGAACACGAGGTGTCACAGAAATGTTGGGAGTGTGGCTGGTTGCCACCTTCTGGACACGTGGTATCCACCGGTCACGGCCTATATTTTTGCCCATGCCACCTTTTTACTCAACGCCAGCCTGTTCTCGCTTCGCCCTGTGTAAGCAAGGATCGCTTGTGTGGCGCTGCCTGTTCTATAGCGGTCGTGTGTGGGTACATTCAAATATTGAATTTCTCAATACAAGGTGACCCCGCCATGGATGACGTCACATGTCGACCAGGGATTTTTGGCCAATCAGAAAACTGCAGGCACCTTTCATCTCTATGCGTCTGTGTGGATACATTCGAATATTTGACTTCTTCTGGAACAAAGCGACCCCGCCGTGGATGACGTCACATATCGACCAGGGATTTTGGCCAATCAGGAAGTTCCCATCCAAGAAATTTGGCCAATCAGCAAACTGCGGGCACCTTTTATCTCTCCCTTTTTATCTCTCCACCGTTGCTGACCCGAGTACGTGATATTCCCAACTAGTCGCGGTACTAGGGGAACATCGTGAAAGACACATGAAAGGGGACCGAGAGCGGTAGCATGCTTTCCCTTCAAAGGGGGGTATAGGAGCGTGGGTTGCGCTGATTTGAAGTGAAGACAAAGAAATAGAAATAAAAAAGGAGCGTCGGTGGTCAAGCCGCACTTTCGACAAGGAAGCCACACCTATGTCTCTTTCCTTGTGAAAATGAGCGGCACGAAATCCCGCCATGTAATCACTCTCAAGGAATGTTTGGAATATCACAGTCCTATTTCCCTAGGGTTAGTTGCGTTTGGATGATCAGTAACACATGCAAGGCATTTTGCAGGTTCCTTGGTAAGCTGAATAAACGTAGTTTACATGTTTCGCAATTCCTTATTTGCTGCCCATGACGGAATGCGTCCCTCAGTTTTTTCACAGCACTGCTACTCTGACTACAGCCCGACACAGCGCCCGACAGCAGACCGCCCGCATCTCGCGGCGCAGGGTGAAGGCTCACAAATCGCCTACTGCGCCCGGATTCTAGGCTGCAACAGCAGACGCCTCCTTTTGCAAGGGTATCTGCGACCACGTGAAAACAATCAAAGGGGGCAAGCACGGCAAGGTATCGGAAAATCTCCACAGAACGACACCTACTTAACCAATACATCTCGGTGAAGGCAACGTCAAGGTCAGAGACCTTCAAGATATGAAGTACTTGACGCTAAACGTTGGCGCGCGATGCAGTTTTGGATGTCAGGTATGAGCTCACCGTGCCCGCAATGGCAGCATCGCTAACAGCCCGTGCCGCCAGCTTCCCGGAGAAAGTAGCGCCCTCCATACTCGCCAAGTATTTTTGTTTGGTGAAGCACCCAGCCAGGAAGAAGTTGGAAATCGGTGTTGTCTGGACAGGGCGATACAACTCGCGTCCTGCTGTCGCCTCGTACACTGAAAGTGGGGTCTTCACGACGGCTGACTTGAGCAGCTTCGCCCCTGAGCCATCCTTGTTGAGCTGCACCGTAGGCGAAGCGTAAGGGAGTTGGTTGGGTGTGGTAGATCATTGTGTCAACGCCGAACGCTTCCCCCCGAACTTACACGCTGAGTTCTCAACTAGGTAGCACGCGGCACAACGCTCAAGGGGAACATCAAACTTGTGCTGTTATCCATGGTGGACCGGAACATCGTGACACACACGTACTGTTCCAGAGTCCGGTAACACGAACAGTGAGCCTAGCAATGCTCGAGGTTAAACCCCAGGCATCATCATGCCCCGTGTTGACTAAGCACACGTCTGGAGCATCAAGTGATTCAACGGCCGCACGTGCGACACCATGTTTTTTAAGCCGGTAAATCAGGACACGAAGAAACTATCACGCACCTCGTTAGGGAAGAGCCTGTACAGCTCTCCCATGGTTGCCTCAATGATATCTTCATCTGACTTGCCAATCCAGTCTTTCGCGGGGGCAAACACGAGTTCAAGCATCGACTTGTCGTCGTCACGGTAGCCCTTGCATGTGAGCGACATGTCGGCGTACACCGACAACAGCGGAGACCTGCAAACATGCCGGACGGTGGCAACGTGTAGACGGTTCCCTCAATTACCCTCCGCAGCCCTGGCTGAAAGCTGTGCTGATCATGGTCCTGCGATACTCAATGCGAGGGAGAAATCTTGGTAGAGCCCTTGCGACCACTCAGTATTTTCAGGCAAGCATTTGTTCAAAGTAAAATTGCATATCTTGTGGCATCACTTTTACAAAGAGATGCACCCGGAGCACGACCACCAGTAACGTGCTCCTGTTACACCTGGGCTCCGTGCCATGTTCAGAGTCTTCAAACCCTGGCCTGCCCAGCACCATTGCAAAGATGACCACACCAAGTGGAGGTACATATGCAAAGGTCCGCCCCTATTGAATGCGGAACCGCAGTCCAACGACTCGTGTACATACATGTAAATAGCACCGCTACTCGTGAAAAATGTTCGTGTCGATGCAGCAGACTTCGATGGCGTCGTTTCACAGCGAGCCTATGAATAATTCCAAGGGTTATCTCGGCACACCACATTGAAAATGGCAAACTTTACAGGGGCACACGACCTGTATCTGTGCATCTGCGTACGCTCTTGTGGCAAAGGGGTCGAGGGAATTGAGCTTGCTAATGTGCCCAGCAATGCTCAGAGCTTTGTGACTGGGATTGCTTGTTCTCCGCCAAAAGCTCACCGCGAGAAAAGGAGATGGTCCACCGTCGTCAGCTTCCTGTCAAACCACATGTGAATGTTGATCACAGGTACTCCGTTCAGACCGTTTAATTTCTCAAAGTAGGGCATGGGCCTCCATGCTTCGGGAAGCGCAAGCTTGAGGATGTCAACCGGCATGGTCGAGACGTACGCATCCGCCACTACCGTCGACCCGTCTTGCATTTTCAAGCCCTTAACCTGGGAGTGGGCGCACAGGCGAAATGGGCATTGTCTCGATCGCGGAAGTTTGAATCTTGAAGCTGACCGAGGGCCGGAACAGCCAGCGAATATCAAGCACCGCACCTAGTTGGTAGCGGTGCCAAGCGACCGGCACATCGTCTTCACATGAACAAACTGTTGATGCCTACCATATTCCGTATCAAACAGAGAGCTGAACTTCACTGCTACCTGGCACACTTTGTACATATCATTGCAAGCACCAGCACCAGCGCTAAGATTTGAAGCAAGGAATGTCGTGATGGGGACCGCACCGTCTTGTCGTCATTCAGCAAAATCTCAGAGATTCGCTGCTCCATCCTCAATTCTCCGCCACGGGCAAGCATGTGGTCCGCCATCGGCTGGCACAAACGCGTTGGCGGCGGCCCATCCAAAAACGCCATCTTGGATCCGTGCGTCTCCTGCTCAGAATGCCAGCCACAGGTGTTTCGGGGATATCTCACTCGTTGGAATCGCACATAGTCAGGGAATATATCGTTGAGTTCAAGGTCTCCAACTAGGGTCTCGTTTGCTATCTACAGGGTGGACCACACTTGTGGGTGAGTGCAGTGCACACTGTGCAAGCAGACCAATTACAGCGTCCATCGTAAGAACAGTTGGCAGCGGGCGTACACGATTAGTACCTGGAGGAAACGGTTGAGAGCCGTCAACACAACTGTCATTGACAGATTCTCGGGGTCAATGAAGTTGAGAGCCTTGGCCATGGCAATGAAGACCTCGTCGTTCACACGGTCTGGAACCCCTTGCTTTTTCATCCACTGCGATACTGTTAGCGAATCACACTCCTCGACGTACTTCTGGCCGAAGAGAATCGCCGGCAGGAGCCCGATCCCAAACTGAATCTTCTCCGGGCTGATGACCAAGCGAGCAAAGTCAAGATTATGGGGTTTGGGAAGGGCGTCCGGGATGGGCCCAAATGATCCGTAAGGTACAGGGCAGGGCGTTAATACTCTTGTCGCGATCAGACGTTGTATGCTGTGTACGTGGATCTCAAAACTCGCATTCCAAATCTCCCGCGCTCACTCACGACTATCGGAACACTTAACCTGTGCATCAGGCAGAGAACTTTACTTACAATGTGAGCATCTCGTTGTTGAGGAGAATAGCCACTAGGCCGTTGAGCGGAGCGGGCAGCAAGGCGGGAAACTCGAAGCGGGAAAATCGCTGGAATCCGTCCGCCGTCTGTTGTCCCGGCATAGCAAAGATCATGCTGTGCGACTTCCACTGCAAGCGGTCCCGAATACCTAGCTCCGTGAACATCTGGTTCACATTTGGGTAGGCACCGAAAAAGATGTGCAGCCCAGTCTCGACCCAGTCGCCATCTTTGTCTTGCCATGCGGCCACTTTTCCTCCCAAAACATCCCTTGCCTGCATATAAAGCAGCCGCAAGGAATGTGGGGATGGCGAGGACAGAAGACAAGACGTCACAAGCCGAAATATATGCCGCAAGAGTCATTTTGCATTGAGGTTTCCCTTGACACGCAGCCCCCGTGGACAATGTGGGCACCCCGATGTCATGCGGTCAAAATCTCTTGATTTCTTGTTTACATGTTGATAGGGAATCTTTCGGTCTAACCGAACGTGGAACCTAGGCTCCTCACATGGGATGTGTCACACACCGTGGGCGACCCAACCCAACCCAACCCAACCCTAACGCCGACCCTATAGCCCACGGATTACGCACGGCGTGGGGGGCGGAAATTCGGCGAGACGCGGCTGTGCGGCGATCTCGGAATGCAGAAAGGCGAGAGGGCCCTGGAAAGGAATCGACCAATAGAACCAACGCCGTCCGTAATGTCCAATTCGCAGAAGTGGGGGATTCCGCGACACCACATGTAGCGCGGTCAAAGCCAGATTAGAGAAGCAACCAGAAACGGGTATACCCGGGTGGATTATCACCATTCCAGGGTACACTTGGAAAACCACACAACACCAATCTCCGACAGCATCCGCCGTAGATCGCGGCGAAACCAATAAACCCCTGTCTGTGTCCTGTGCCTCGGAAGCATGATACCCGAGGCAGGTCGTGCCCGTTTTTCTCTCTCTCTGTGCTTTTACTGATCAGTACCACACCGAACGAACTCGAGTGTCAAGCGAGTCCGACCCTCTGTCAAGAGGGACCGGTATCCTATGGAGGCGGTGCCCATCAACGAGCGAGCGTTGTTGGTGGTTTGGTTGTGGGTATGTATGTGCGGTACAAGGCATGTGCGGTAAACGGTGCTTTCTGCGGGTTTTATGAAAGCGCGTCGGGCGCCGCGATTATATGACCATTTCTGGGTACAAAATCGACCTCTTCCGGGTACATCAGTAACCATTATCGGTCACACCAGAGGGTCCCAATGCCAGCGGAAGTTGTACCCGACGGAGGTTGAAATTGGTGCGATGGTTTTTCGGCCAATCAGCTGACAGCCTGGGGGTGCAAGCGTGTTGATTTCGAAGTGCACCCTAAAGTGGTGATGGAAGTTACCCGGGTAAACCCTTTTCTGGTTATTGGTCCGATAACTCAAAATTCTCTGTACACCACACTACTACTGAGGGACCCCGACTTTTGTTGTACATCGATCGCGTGAATTCCTCAATACCACATGTAGTTCGGTCAAAGACGAGGTCGACTCAAAATCTCGGTGCACTACCCTCGGGAGTATTCAGTACACCTGGTGCTTGCTTTTCTACCGGGACCCCCGACTTGTAACATCAAACTTGCAGACACGGGCACGGGGACGCAAGGCACACCGAATGCTTGTGAGATTTGCAGCATAGTGTGTGATGCCCAACATTCGACGAAACATGTGTCAACAGTCAACATGCGCATCGTGCTCTTTGAGTCTGAGTGTTTCGTGTTTTGGAAAACAGGAGGTGCTGCACTGAGGTGCTGCACTGGACCCACCTCAAGGACGATCGGTTTGTGCCCTGCATCAGACAAATACTTGGCGCATGATAGCCCTGCTAGCCCTGCTCCAATTACGGCAACTTTCAACGGTCGCTCCGGCCTAGGCATATCGAGGAATGCTTGCGAGAAGGCTGCAGATTCCCGCTGGTTCTCCGAGGTCTCCTCCAAAGGAGGTCGGGGATAGTCTTTCCTTTCTCCAGGCGCCGGGTAATCGAAGATCATGGACGAAACGCCATTCCTCCTGATGGTGTTCTGCCGTGCGGAACCCGTCAAGCTGACTCCTGTGAACTGGAGGCAACCACGGAGGGAATCATGGCAATGACCATGCAGCGTGCGACGGGCGTGTGACGAGTGAATCCCCTCCACCTTGCCAAAATCCACCTGTTGAACATGACACACACACATATGACACACCTCATGTTTTCTGGCGTTTGTCTGACTCCCTTTCGATTGCTCAGTCGAACTCGAACTCACCGACGTTGCAGAAGGAGGCACGAATGCTGATATCGTTTTCCCCGCCAACGCCAATGCCAAGAAGGCTCCATGCCTTGCGCCAACCATGTTGCCAGAGGTAGTATTGGCGCTGTTGCAGACTGCAGACACACGTGCACACGTGCGTGCAGCCCCCAGCGCCCTGCGTCTTGGGGTCGCACATGCCGGACAAAACAAAAAAAGATACCCCCCGCTTTTCGTATTCGTGTGACCCCGTGACTAACCTCGCAGTGAACCTCGCAACCTCGGTGGTGCAGGTGAACACATGCACCATGAATGCAGCATGCTGCATGTGGTGATTTAGTCTCGTAGGGAGGACGGGTGTTTTTTCATGGATACTACTGCGCCGATCACAGCAGTGCACCTTTGAGTGAGCTCTGTGAGAGTGTTGTGATTTTCTACAGACTACGACAGCTGACGGTGTCCTCGGTCGAAAGACTAGCCCACCTTAGTACTGGTCGCCCCGGTGGTCTAGAGGGTAGCCTCGAAGTCTGCTAAGGGCCAGGTCATGGGTTCGAGTCCCGGCAGAGGACCGGTCGCCCCGGTGGTCTAGTGGTATCCTCCTTATCCGCTAGTCGCAGAGGTCGTGAGTTCAAATCCCCATGGGGTGAAAAATTTACGAAATTTGCGGGTGAAAGCGAAATATAGCTGAAAAAAAGCTCTCGTGAGTACCAAACTTCGACGTTAGCACCGTTGACGAGGGAAAGGGACGGCTGGACCCTTCTCGCGATAAAAATAAAAATCAGCACGCACTGCAGGAGGAAGGTGGAGCATGAAAAGAAATAAAAAAGAAGAAAAAAGCCCTGGTGTTTACCCCCCTCCTGTGTGACCCTGGATGGTTGTAGTTGTACGACGAAAAAATACACTGAAAAGTGTACCACTGCCTACATACGCTGAACGGTTGTACACGTCTGGTGGAAGCGACGCGCTGCAAAGCTCGTTGTTAGTAAACTTGATCGACTTCATAATAAGTCGCGAGGGAAGGGATTGCTGTACCCTTCAAGCGATAAAAATATCTCAGGCAGGAACCACAGGAGGGGGTCCAACCCCCCCCTCGTATGTGACCCCGGTTGGGTCGTCTAGCTGGTAGAAGTGGAGGATAGGGGCCAGAGGGGCAGGCGACGACAGAGTCAGTCCAATGATAGGAGAAAAAAAAAATACAGATGGACTGATTCGAGGAGAGGCGGGTATTACAGAGTTGAAGGACGCCGCAACGNTTGATCGACTTCATAATAAGTCGCGAGGGAAGGGATTGCTGTACCCTTCAAGCGATAAAANAAGTGTTCACCTATTAGGAGTAGGCTTGGGCACTCGTTTTTTTTGCAGAACGTCACTAATTGGCGCAGTTACCGATGAAACGGATTGTGAATAGAGTACATATCGGCACCGAACGCAACGACGCGGGCACGAAATGAGAAACGCTTGGGTGCAGAATGATGGCCTTGTTACGCTACAGCTTGTGCACTTTTCCGCACCGAAAACGATCCTCAAACGGCTTGTTTATCGGTGCAAAGGTGGTGCGAACACACACACACACGGACATCAATTTGAGAACAGTAATTAATTCAGGGGTCGGGCTGACAGGCGGTGTTATTCAACGTGCGCAGAACCCAGGCGGGGAAACAAAAAGGACCCATCTAAAACAAAAAGGACCCATCTAATAAAACAGTTTTTTTGCGAAAAAAAACTCCGCTATCGCTCTGTTTTTTTTTTCGCACGCGCGCTTCGCGCGCGGAAAAAACTCCTAAAAAATACATAAGCGGCTCAACACAAAAAGTGGCAGTTGGCTAGCCCACCGGCGATCAGACGTTCGCACTGCCGCCACCTTTGTCGGCGTACAGCGTAAAATAGGCCAGTAGCTATTCAGGAAAGCTGGTTTCGCGGAATTACGTTGACTATAGCGCGAGAACTGCTCGGCGCAGGCTCCGAGACTTTNTTTTTTTTTTCGCACGCGCGCTTCGCGCGCGGAAAAAACTCCTAAAAAATACATAAGCGGCTCAACACAAAAAGTGGCAGTTGGCTAGCCCACCGGCGATCAGACGTTCGCACTGCCGCCACCTTTGTCGGCGTACAGCGTAAAATAGGCCAGTAGCTATTCAGGAAAGCTGGTTTCGCGGAATTACGTTGACTATAGCGCGAGAACTGCTCGGCGCAGGCTCCGAGACTTTGCCGAAAAAATGTGATCCATGCCCCTGCTGCGGCCGAACCTCCTGTGGTGTGCACGCACGGCAAGCTTAACACGAGAACGCGCCCTACACCTAACCGATCGACACGAAACTTTACACAATTACGAACAATGACACGAGGAGTACACATATCGAATATTGTGTTCAGAAGTGCTTCCGAGACGAGTCTCGAGAGAGGTACTTATCGCTTGGAAAAAGAGGTATTGCGCGGATCAAGCGTGCTTATCTTTGGACGCGCTACTCGTGGTATGAGACACAGGATGGGCTTGCTGTAAGGCTTGCGGTTCTACTGCAATTTGAACTTTGGTGCAACACGCAGTATAGGTGAAGTAATTGCAAATGGCGTGCGTCCATATTTGAACTGAAAACGGTTACGATATCTCCTGCGTCCTGAAGTGTTGTGCCGCCATACACACACATCGAACGACAGAGTCACGTAAGAAAAATACGGCGCACACGCACGCAGCAGCAGCTGCGGCCTGCAGGATGCCCCGTTGGGGCCCGCACGGGCATGTATCCCTTTTGTACTCCGGTGAAATCCGACTGGTTGATGGAGTTGTGTCGTCGTGCGTCATACAAGTAAAGAACGAAACAGATCGAAACACAACATATTCGAAGTACCGCTACGTGAGTTCGCGTGTTTCCATTCAGACTCCCCCCTCCCCCCCCGCCCGCACGAGCAAGAAATTTGCTAACAACTTGAATGAACGTGAGATAATTCGTCAGGTGGGCCTACTAACCCTACTAACGCAGAGAATATACACTAAAAAAAAATGCGGGTGAAGCTCCAAAAACAACGTCGTTTGCCGTGTGTGTATCTTTGTGCACACCATGATGATACCGTAGGCCCAACGCAACAACTTTAAACTTGACGAGTAAAGCAATCCGACACTATATATCTACAGCACATGTAACCTTGAGAAAATACAAGCACTTGAATCCTTACATTCCCGGACGCGGGGAACAATAAGCGCAGGGAGACATACTCTATACTCCCGAAACCCCGCCGTGCCACTGCCTAAACCCTGCGCCAACGCCATTGTTGCCGCAGCNCTTTGTGCACACCATGATGATACCGTAGGCCCAACGCAACAACTTTAAACTTGACGAGTAAAGCAATCCGACACTATATATCTACAGCACATGTAACCTTGAGAAAATACAAGCACTTGAATCCTTACATTCCCGGACGCGGGGAACAATAAGCGCAGGGAGACATACTCTATACTCCCGAAACCCCGCCGTGCCACTGCCTAAACCCTGCGCCAACGCCATTGTTGCCGCAGCTGATATCCGCTTCGCCCGGAAACATGCTCGAAACCCAAGCTGGGGTCGAAGCCAGTAAGTCCTGACCAACGCCGAACGGGGGAGCCGCCATTGGACGAAATCATCTCGCGAAAGTTTGTTACCTGAAACACGATACGTAGACCGCATTATGTGGGCTCGGTATGGCACCGGCGCGATACACCAACATGATCACTAGGCGACGAACAAAATATAGGCGACATCAACGCTTGCACATGTCTACACAAGAACAAAGATGAACAGCGATAGGATGGCCAAACACACCTGATGAAACTCGGTCAGAACCATGCTTCGCTCGTGTGCACATCGTTCCAACAACCGAGCCCCCTCAGTCAAAGGATGGCCCGGGATATTTAAGGGGACACCGTGTGCGTTCGACGGGTGTTTGCCCTCCGTTAAACCTTTACCCTTCAAAATCAATCTGGATAGCATGCCGTTCCAGCATCGGAATGGGTTGCCACGACTTGGAAAAAAAAAACTAAATAGAAACGTCGTATACTCTTTTACGCGAGGGACGGGGAAATGTTGTGCTGTATATGTTGGAGATTATCGCGTCTTGTGGCAAGTTTGAACATACTCTTTAAGATGACTCTCAAGTCGAAATAATATGCTTACCTTGCGGATTNGCCGTTCCAGCATCGGAATGGGTTGCCACGACTTGGAAAAAAAAAACTAAATAGAAACGTCGTATACTCTTTTACGCGAGGGACGGGGAAATGTTGTGCTGTATATGTTGGAGATTATCGCGTCTTGTGGCAAGTTTGAACATACTCTTTAAGATGACTCTCAAGTCGAAATAATATGCTTACCTTGCGGATTTCAGATTCGACGCATGTCCAAGGGCTATCCTCACTTGAGCTGCTCAACACACTGTCGACGGCGGCGCGGCGAAGTGTCCGCTCGAAATCCTTGAACCGCCGGTCTCCCTCCTCTTGGTCCAGCCCCTTTGTAATCTGATCCACCGTAAGAGATCTGCGTCTCCTGAGCGAAGCGGCGTCTTGCATCCTAACCACATCGTCCCCCACCGTCACAGCTGTTGCGGCTATGAACGAAATATGCGGTCCTTTCCCCTGGCGCTCACCAACCCGTGGGTCGTTATCGCAGTTGTCGTTTGCAATCGCCGCGCATTGGGCCCCCTTGGGGAGAATGTCCTTGTCCTCAACGACCTTCGCATGATAGTCCTCTCGATGCTGCACTTGTGAAGTCGTAGCCCACAAGCCGTGCCCTGCTACAAAGTCGATAACCTGCCGGCAGGTCCCCTTTGACTTCGCCCACTGAGCACCTTTGATGTCCGCCGCTGTCAAGTGTCGACCAGGAAAAATCGCCTTCACCGTGCACTTGCAGAGCATGTACAAACGCCGTGCGAAGCCTCGCCTATCCTGGTTGGTTGTTTCGATGGAAATGGCAGCTGCCTCGGAAGTCGACCCAGCAGAATCCACCTCTTCTGCCCGGGTGGCATTGCGAGTGGGGGCTTGCCGCTCACAGGCGGCTCCTTCAAGCGCGTCGGCTTCATCGCTCCCATCATCCTCTCGCCGTACACTCCGCGCTGCGCTTGGCTGTGGACCGTCTGTTTTTATTTCATCCTACGCCCAGCCCTGGCCGGGATCCTCACTCCCTATATCGGTAATCTCGGGGTACAGGGGCATGTTCGTCATACCTCGGAAGAGTCCAATCAATGTCGGGGGCATCTCAGCTAGGGCATCTCGCACTGGTTTCACGGGTGCGGCCAACTCCACGCTGTACTTGTGCTTTTTCCGTCGGAGGCGGGCATTCTTGAGATCTGGATGCTGATCGACATAGGCCCGAACAATTTCCGCCGCCGCACGCACGATCTCCATCCTCGCGTCTGCCTCTTGCGCTTCTTCGAGAAGACGCCTCACTTTCTGCAGGGACGTATTTCCACCGGACGTGGCGTTTGCGGGCGTGCTCGGACCATCGAACCTGTTCGCTAGGCGCGCTCGTAGGGCGAGGGATGCGATAACCTCGTCCCGAGCGTTGACCAGGAATAGACACAGTAGTCGTTGGCGCCCGTCTCCAAAGCCCATCTCGCTGCTGACCACCCGCGCTTGACTCCCATCAGCGCTCGCGATGCTCTAGAACATCTGGCGCACGGCCTTCCGCCCGCTCCTACGCTCTTGGTCACCATCCTTTGCGCGCTCAGCTGAGAGCCAGTCGAACACATCCTCCCAGCAAAGGATGTCCCCGCAGCTACGGCTTTAATCGCCAACGCGCGCACCCGGCTGAACGGCTTCTCCGGCGCCGGTTCATCGGCGTTAGGTCGGCCCGAGTTGCTCGATGCCGCAACCTTTTTTTGAGTAGCTTCTCCGA